TACTACAACCATCTTACTAGTTACGTACCAAATTTCTTAACGTTTCATATATCACCTCCTCTTCCTGCATTATAAGAGAAAAGCAAGTAATGATAACAGGATTATACAATTGATATTGTATCATTCCATTCACTCAGTTATCTCTCACATACTCAAGACATTCCATGACTGCTCATCCTGGTCTCCATGTTCTACTTTTTTTGGTTTTGTTAATTACTTCCTTTTTGACATGGGGATGAGAACAGCATAGAGACTTCATGGATTCATGATATGTTGGTGTAGTATTTTCAACTTTTTTCTCATGTACTCATTTTCTAATATTATCAGAATTACTGTTTTAATTTTTAACCACTTCTGAGCATTCAGAAAACTATTTATACTGTTTTTAGTATCTTTCCTGAGTACAAATAGCTATTCAGATATCTATAAACCCATTGACTAATTAAAATTATTTTCCCGTAGACGACCTATCTTCATTCATCAGCACTTTCGGCTGACATTTTAGCATTCACTAAAGTTCATCATATTCTTATACAGCTTTTTATTTTTTGGATCATGCTGAATAGCATTTTGAAATAATCTTTATATCTTCATTATTAATCCCCCCTCCATATAGTTTAAACATATTGCTTAGGAATATTCTACAAAGCATAAAGCACAGAATTGAGAGGAAATGTACTAGTAATGGCTATTCCTAGACTGAGTACTTATTCCTTCATTTTGTTTCCAGTTATTTGGTTAACAAGTTCTTAATAAATATTATATTCCTAGCTCAGCATGTGAACAAAACCTTTCCAACTTCAAATTCTGTATGATACAAGGACATAAAGACATAAAATTACTGTTAGCTGTCTATTGAGTCTGAATCAACAGCCATGGAAGTTGACAGAAGACTTTCTACTGATCTGTATATGAACTGGATTAAATACTTAAGGGCTATATGTAAATATTTTAACACTGAAATTTTGAAAATATAATGACTTCAAGTGATACTTTTACATGAACCTGATGTGGTAGCCAGAAATCTGTCTACCAGCAAAAGCTGATATATTAAGCTTATAAATTCATATCTTTCTAACTGATGAATCTGTTTAAATTTAAAAAAAATCTCAGTATTTTGAAGCCTGTTTATTAAAAGAAAAACCCCAAACACCTAAAACTGTAAGGGATAAAGTCTCCTACTTTTCAAGTCAACTGAGAACCAGACAAGTCTTCAAAGGAGCAAAAATACTACTATATTTCATAGTGGTGACTACTTTTGAAGAAATTAAAGGGTTTGCAAGGTTTCTAGGCTACCAGAACAAAAAAAGTGGAAGGGAAGCATGACATTCTACATATAATTGGCTTGGGCTGGCTAGGAAAAGTGATTTTAAAGAATATGTGTTGATTTACTCATCCTTATGTAATAAGAAATAGAATCTTGCATATCTTAGTTCACAGCATCCAACATTCCTCTTAAAATGCTGATATTTAATTTAAACAAAACAGAGCTTCAAAAGAAGGTCATATAGAGAAATGCTTTTAGGTTAACAGATGCTACTTTCATTGCTACAAGAGCAAATGTCTGTTAAATTGTTGAATAACATACTATAGAAGATAAATTTCACAATGTGATGTATTGAGCAAGTGTATAGGTTGTTATACACTGGCACAGCAAATAGAAGATGGCATTTAAGATTAGTGTTTATCATTATAGCGAACTGAGAAAGTTCTGATCCTGTGAACAGCTTGCTACTTAGGGAGTAACTGAGATCTCAGGGCAGACAGTGGCTTGACCGCAGTAACGTTATCAAGGTGGAGGAAGTGCTGGCAGGATGAAAGCCTGAGCCATGCACAGCCGCTTGGAGCTCTCTGGCGGACAGCTTGCTCCGGATGGGCCGCTGGTCTGCCGCATTGATTTTTCATGGTCTCTCAGGAGTCACCATCTTTACTTCCAGCACTACATTATCTCAAAATACTCCATCTGCACACATTTGGTGAACTGAGGAGTAAACAGTTCTACTTAGAACCGGCTGGTCTTACAGCACTTCAGTGACACTGGGCTCTCAGTTACACCTGCCAGACGACGAAGGGCTACGGGGCTCAGCAGGGTTTAACGAAGCCACACGGGACGCCCGCTTGGAAGGCTCACTTTCCCGGAGGGCAGCCGGGAGCCCTCAC